GGATAACCTTTCTTTTGCCCTGAGACCTCAGTCTGCGCAGCGCGTGCAGCCATCGAAAGGGAGGAAGCCAACTCCAAAAGTCTCTGCACCTCCACCACCTCGAAGGATCTCAACACCTCCACTGTCATCAGATGCAGCTGCATCATCACCAGCAGCAGCTGCATCATCACCAGTAGCAGCACCAGCAGCACGACCACCGCCACCAACATCCTCATCCCCAGCCTGCTCCAAAGCAGCCACGCCTTCTTCATCTACAGCGCCTCTGAAGCCCCCATCCTCACCCCAGGCTACAGCAGACAGGCCTGTGCTGGGGTTTCCTCAACCACCTGCCCCTCCATCAAAGACTCCCTCGCCACCTCCCATGGACCTGTCTTGGGTCCCCCCTGCCACGTCCACTCCATCAAGAGAGAATGGGGACACCTCCCTTTGTTTTTCATCCCCGCATTCACTGTTAGACCTACCTGAACACTCTGCAGGGCTAATAAAATCGGCCATGAAGACTATTCCTCTCACACCCATATTAGCTCGATCTAGAGTCCTGTACAACATTCTAAACCACTCCCCATATGTACCTCCAAAACCACCTAGGGTTTCCAATTCACCTACAAAAACCACCTCAGCCAGTCCCTCCCCTAACCTCATGACCATTCCACCCCCACTTCCCCCTCGTTCAACATCCAAAACCTCTGCCTCAGCCCACCCCGGCCCTAACCCATCACCTAAAACCCCTCCACCTCCCTGCCCCCCTCGTTCAACACCCAAAAGCCACCCACCTCTCCATCCTCCTCCCCTGCCTTCCCCTTCCCCTCTTTTCTCTAAACACTAGGATGCACAGGGTCTCTGCTTCGCAGCCACTGGCAGTCTAGTTAGAGGAGAGACCCGGCTGGGGCCCTGTCATGAAGCCACCTGTGCCATTCCCTTAGTGATAACACAAAGAATACATTACAGAAAAGCATCTGGAGTTAATCAGTCTAATCTGGAAAATCTAATTCTTGTTCCGTGTAAGAATCAGCCGACCGCAACCGCTGATACTGAAACTTTGAAACTTGCTACGCTTAATGTCAGATCTCTTTGTAACAAGTCTTTTTTAATCAATAATTGTATTTGTTCTCATAATCTTGATCTTATGTTCATGGCTGAAACTTGGCTTGACCAAAATTCAGAAAATGCAGTTTTAATAGAAGCATCACCACCAAATTTCAAGTTTGAATCTGAAATACGGGAAAACAAAAAAGGAGGAGGCTTAGCTGCCATTTTCAGAGACCACTTTGTCTCCCATAGAATGTCTCTTGGGAAGTTTTCGTCATTTGAATATGTGTCTTTTAAAATACAACAAAAACAATCTCCTCCAATACTCTTCATTGTCCTATACAAGCCACCGCAGTCATGTCACAGTTTTATTGATAATTTTACCGAGTTGCTTTCAGTTGTATGCACAGATTTTGATAGTTTGGTTATTACAGGTGATTTTAATATTCATGTGGATAATGTTGATGACAGAAATGCAAATGAGCTGAGTTCTGTACTTGAATCCTTTGATCTCACTCAGCATGTGAGTGGCCCCACCCACAGCAGAGGGCACACTCTAGATCTGTTAGTTACAAAGGGGGTGAATATTTCAAATGTAAACGTGGTCGATGTTGCTCTTTCGGATCATTTCTGTGTTTTTTTTTACATGTGTTTCACTAACAAACCACCAGTGGACTCTGCAACTGTTCGAAGAAGGCGCATAAATGAAAATACGAGTGAACTATTTATGGGAATGATAAACTTTGAGAATGCATCGTATTCTACTGTAGATGAACTGTTAAACTCTGTCACCTCTAGTGTTTTGAAGGTTCTGGATACCGTTGCCCCTGTGAAGGTTAAAATAGTGAAAAATAAGCAGAAGGCGTCGTGGGCTAAAGCAGACTCGGTCAGGGCACAAAAGAGAAAGTGCCGGAGGGCCGAGCGGAAGTGGCGCAAGTCCAACCTCCAGGTTGATTACGAGATCTTCAAAGATAAGTTGTGCAAGTTTAACCAGGTGCTACGTAGTACGAGAGAAAGGTATTTTTCTGAAATGATTGAAGGCTGCAGCAACAATCTGCGTGTTCTGTTCTCAACAGTTAATAGATTAACAAACCCCCCTGTTCAAATGCCATTAGAGCTTACTTCCAAACGTAAATGCAATGAGTTTGCTAATTTTTTCAATGACAAGGTTCAAGGCATCAAAAACGCCATTGTCTCCAATCCACTAAATCCAATCTCCAATCCAATCCTGCTAAAAAAGAGCAGTCTCGATGCTACGGTACTTAACAACTATCGTCCCATCTCAAATCTGCCATTTATGGGGAAAGTCCTTGAGAAAGTTGTCTACCTACAGCTTACTAGATTTCTTATAATCAACAACTCATTTGATATGTTTCAGTCCGGCTTTAGACCCCACCACAGCACTGAGACTGCTCTCGTTAAGGTTACAAACGATATCCGGCTGAACACTGACGCAGGCAAAGTCTCAATCTTAATCTTGTTAGATCTAAGTGCTGCCTTTGACACCGTCGACCATGAGATCCTCTTACAGAGACTAGAGGACTGGGTTGGCGTCACTGGCACCGCCCTAAGTTGGTTTGGGTCTTACCTTGAAGACAGGAAGTACTTTGTGGAGATTGGAGACTGTGTCTCAGATCATATGGCCCTGACCTGTGGAGTACCACAGGGGTCGATCCTGGGACCTCTTCTGTTCAATCTCTACATGCTGCCATTAGGTCAGTTAATACGCAGAAACGAAGTTTCCTATCATAACTATGCAGACGACACTCAGATCTATGTCTCACTGACTGCAGGAGAACATGGACCAGTGGACTCACTCCTTCACTGTATCCAACAGATCAGTGAGTGGATGCAAAACAACTTCCTTCAGCTAAACGCAGACAAAACTGAAATGATTGTCTTTGGTCCCCAGAAACAAAGAGAGAGCGTCATCTGTCACCTACAGTCTCTCTCCCTAAAACCTTCAAACAAGGTCAGAAATCTAGGGGTAATACTGGACTCAGACTTAAATTTTAATAGCCACATCAAATCAGTAACATCAGCAGCTTTTTACCATCTAAAAAACATTGCCAGGATCAAAAACATAGTGTCTAAAGCAGACCTGGAGATTCGTATCCATGCATTTGTCTCCAGTAGGTTAGACTACTGCAATGGCCTGCTCACAGGTCTGTCCAAACAGGCTGTAAAACAGCTGCAGTACATTCAAAATGCAGCAGCTCGAGTCCTGACTAGAACCAGGAAGTACGACCACATTAGTCCAGTTCTCAGGTCTCTGCACTGGCTTCCTGTGGCTCAGAAAATAGACTTTAAAACAGCTCTGCTTGTGTACAAGTCTCTCCATAGCCTCGCACCAAAATATATTAGTGACATGTTAGTCCCATATGAACCAGCCCGGACTCTGAGGAGCACAGGGACTGGACTCCTGTTAGTGCCCAGAGTTTGAACTAAACATGGGGAGGCTGCTTTTCAGATTCATGCTGCTAAAATCTGGAACAGTCTTCCTGAAGATGTGAGACAGGCCTCCTCTCTGACAATGTTTAAAACCAGGTTAAAGACAGCTCTGTTTAACTGTGCATACAACTGAGGGATTTTATATTTTTATCTTTCTTTTTAATGTTCTGTGATAATTTATGATTTTAATGCTTTCTTGTTTTGTTCAGCACTTTGAATTGCCTTGTGTAGGAATTGTGCTATATAAATAAACTTGCCTTGCCTTGCCTTGCCTTGAGATCAGCCGAGCAACGGGTCGAGTGTAAGTCTTTTCGTTGACCTTCACTGATGCAGTCTGGACGCGTTCGTCGGATCCTCTGAACGTCTCTGTCACGGAGCCCACTGACCAGAGAGCCCGCGGCAGCTGTGGGTCGACGATGAGGACAACTTGGCCTGTGTCCAGTTCCTTTGTGTCAGTTCTCCACTTCTGACGTTCTTGGAGACTCGGAAGGTAGTTCCGGATGAAAGCTGTCCAAAAGCTGTCCGCCAAGATCTGACAATGTCTCCATCTCCTCCTTTTACGCCGACCAATCTTGACAGAGAACGGACCAAAACAGTCCACTCCAGTGGAACAGAATGGATGCTTGTGCTGGCGTAAACGGTTGTGTGGAAAGTTGGATGTCTTCGAGATGGTGGGCTTTGCACGCCAGTGTTGACGCTCATGGCAGGAGTGATGGAGCTTTCTGAGAGCTTCCCTGCCTGTGAGCACCAAATACTGACGTCTCCTCTTAATCAAGACTCTCTCAGGGCCTGGATGAAGTAGCTCTTCAGGAAACGAGTCCAACTGAGACTGAGCAAGTATTATCTTCTCTGCATGGAAAACATCATTAGACTTGTTGCTGCTTGGGTTAGCCGCCCCGTTGACAACCCCCATAGTGGCTTGGACGAGGGCATCCCGTGACAGAAACTGGGAAGCATCGGGGGCTGGAGAGTCGGTAATAATCGCTTCAATGAATGCAGATTCCTGAAGCTGAACATCTGGACCACAGCGAAGCAACGGAGTGGTGTTGTGTTGCACTTCTTGCACATCAACTCTGATGATTGCGCATTGTGGAAGATTGTATGCTTGTTGATCCTGTTTGGAACTGGTGTGCGCTTTCTCGCTCGGGGGGAGAACGTCTAGTTTCAACAAGTGCTCCTCATTGTTGACTAACTCCTGCTGTCGATCTTCAGTTAGGGCAAGATGTAGACACTGTTGTTCCTTGTGAGAACTTTGGAAAGGACTCATGGGGCCCTGCAGTGTCCATCCAAGGAGCGTGCAGACGGCGATTGGTCCACCTTGGGGTCCTTTGCATATGGGCTGAATAGGGGTGAGCAGGTGAGGTGCGTCAGACCCTATCAGAATGAGTGGCTGTACATTACTCAACGGGCGTAGTGGAAGACCCTTAAGGTGCTGATAACGCTGCTGGAGAGCATGTACGGGGTAAGACACATCAGCTAGGCTGAGCTCTTGGGCTGAGAAGGCATTGCGAATGTGGTACCTCTCAGAGGGGTTCTCAATGGGAGAAATCTCAAAGGAGATAGATGAGCCAGCAATGTGTTCAACTTTCCGATGCACTGTCCGGAGAGCCAGGGTCTCGGAATCACCCTTGAAGTTCAGATGTTGCACAACTGGGGGGAGAAATGCAGCCCGCGGAAATTCAATTTGGTAGACGTCAGCCAAAGTTACCCCCTCCAGGCCGGTTCACATCCCCAGCCTATCGCACAGCAAACGCCCCCTTCCAATCACCCGTACCGGCCAGGCAGCCGCTTAAAAGCGGAGAAACTCCCACTTCACGGCCTCCCAAAGCCTTGCAAGAATCGTTCTGGAGGAATCGCTTTTGTCTACTCACGCTTACTCCTGCGGTCCCTGCTGTCCTCTGTCTTGCTGCGTTGTGGTCTGCTCCTCCTCCGCGTCGCTGCACCTGCTGCGGGTCTCGTGCTGTGGTCCGTGGGTCTTTGCCGCTCTCCTCCTTTGCGGGCTCTTCTGCGGGTTCGCTGCTGCTCGTCTCGTCGCGGCCTGCTGCTGCATACGGCCGGTCTGGACCGGTGCGGCGGGAGCCGTGCGCATCCCTGCCTCCTCGTGCCGGTACGGCGTGGTCCCGTTGTGTTGTCCCTTGTCTTCTGGCGTTGTTGGTAAGTATGAGATCTGCGGACGGTTTTTCCCCTCGCATTTTACTACAGGCTCAGTTCGCCCCGCGCTTTGTACTGCAGGCTCAGTTGGCCCCGTGCATTGGTGGGCAAGCTTCAGTTTAAAGCCCTCGCATTGGTCTGCAGGCTCTCTTTAACCAAGCTCCGTTTAAATCCTTCACTCTGACTGCAAGCTCCGTTTATTCCTCACATTGGACTGCAAGATCTCAGTTTAATCCCTCACTTTGGACTGCGTGCTCTCAGTTTTAATCCCTCACTTGGCCTGCAGGCTCTCTTTAAATCCCTCTCTGGACTACGAGCTCTGTTTAAATCCCTCTCTTTGGACTGCAAGCCCCGTTTAAATCCCTCTTGGACTGCGGCTCCCAAATTGAATCCCTCACATTGGACTGCGAGCTCTCAGGTTAATCCCTCACGGAACTGCTTATATCCGGAACTGCTCATATCTGGAACGCTTATATATAAAAATAAATACATATAAATAAATATGAATAAATATAAATAAATATAAATAAATATAAATAAATATAAATAAATATAAATAAATATAAATAAATATAAATAAATATAAATATAAATAAATATAAATATAATTGGTTGGCAGTTGGTAGAGCATTGGCCTTAAGGCCAGAAGGTCGTGGGTTCAATTCCCACCTCTGCACCTTCTCCACCGACTCCCACTGATGACTGCTGTCGTTGTGTCCTTGGGCAAGACACTTAACCCCACTTTGCCCAAAGCCCCCACTGAAAGATCAAGGCTATGCTCACACTCAGAGAGCAGCCGTCCTCCTGTGGACTCACCACCTGCAGAGGGTCAGTGAGGGGCTGGTGCTATGAGACTTGGGTGGCATCTCTGACTGCCACCCCCCTGACCCAGAAATTGATTAAAGGGTAGAAAATGGATGGATGGATGGATAAATATAAATAAATATAAATAAATATAAATAAATATAAATAAATAAATAAAAAAAAAAACTGCAGGCTCTGTTGGATCCCTCACACTGGACTGTAAGTTTCAGTTTAAACTCCTCACTTGGACTGCGGGCTCAGTTAATCCCTCACTTGGACCGTAAAACCTATTTAAATCCCTCACACTGGACTGCAGCTCTCGGTTTAATCCCTCACTTGGACTACAAGCTCTCAGTTATAAATCCCACTTTCAGGACTGCGGGCAATGTTGAATCCCTCACTCTGGACTACAAGCTCTCAGTTTAATCCCTCACCTCGGACTACAGGTCATTTAACTCCCTCACACTGGACTGCAGGCTCTCCGTTAAACGCCTCACTTGGACTGCGGGCTCAGTTTTAATACCTCACTTTGGACTGCAAGCTCTATTTAAATCCCTCACATTAGACTGCAAGCTCTGTTTAGGTCCCTCGGCGTCTCGTGTCCCGCAACCTCTTCCCGGCTCTCCGTGAGCCCCAAGTCGGCACGCGGCTCGGGCGCGGGAGGTGTCCGTGGGCTACGTCATTGGCCCCTTCTCTCCGTCTCGCTCTAACCCGACGGGCATCGCCACCCGCAAGCACTCCAGGAAGAAGCGTCTCATACTCGTCCTCTCCTGTCCCCGCTCCGGGCCCGCCCGAGCATCAACAGCCCCTTCCCTCCAGCGCCTTTCTCCCTGCAGTCCGCTACCGTGGACCACGCGATCAGGCTGATAAAGACTTTCGGCCCCGGCTCCTGGCTCTCCAAGGCCGTCATCCCGGACGCGTTCCAGCTGCTGCCATCCACCCCGACCACTGGCGCTGTTCAGGGGTCAAGTGGCGTCGGAGTTCTTCTTCGCAGTGCGCCTCACCTTTGACTGCCGGAGTAGTCCCTCTCGTTCAACAATCTCTCGGAGGCGCAGTGTCGGATTCTGCTTAATTACGCGCGGCTCCCCTCTATCCCGCATCTCCCCGATGATTCCCTCGTAGTCAACCCACCCTCAGACTGCTCCGGGGGCTCTCTCCGCAAGCTCAGGCCCGCCTTCTCTGCCCTCGGATTCCTCCACTCCGGAAAGACCACAGGCCCCGCCAACGCTCTGGAGTTTCTCGGCATCCGCCTCGACACACGCGCCATGGAGGCCTCCCTCCCGCTGGACAAGCTCGAACGCATCCGCGCTTTCTCCCGGTCTGCTTTGGCCTTCCCGTCACTTCTAGGCGTCCTTGCTCTCCCTCCTCGGGCATCTTAATAATGCCATCCGTATCATTCCCCAAGGTCGTTCTTTTAATTCCAGACTCCTCTCCCTCGCCGGCTCCGTCTCCTCCCTCAATGACGCTGTCTGCCCGGACGCGGGGCGCCGCTCCGACCTGGCGTTCCGGTCCCGTCTGCAGAGCCGCTGGGATGGTGTATCTTTTTTTTTTTACAGTGACGTCATCCTGTCTCAGATGCCCCGCGGTTCTTCACGGACGCAGCCCCGTCCGTGGGTTTTGGGGGTTTTTCCAGGACCAGTGGTTCGCCGGGCCCCGGCCCGACGCTTTCCCTCGAAGCATCTCCTCCGCGCTCCACGAGATATATCCCGTGACCGTAGCCTGCATGCTGCGGAACCATACGTGGCATAGGAAAAGGATTCCGTGACGTGCGACAACCTCGACGTCATTGAAATAATTAACAGAGGTCGTTCATCCTCTCCCCAAATCACATCCTCCTTAGACGCATCACATGGCTCTCAGTCCTGAACAATTTATCATCACTGCTCGTCACGTCCCTCGTCACCTAACTGTATTGCTGACTCTCTCTCTCGCTTTAAATTCCAGGAGCCCTGACGCCTTTGCCCTTCTGCCAATCCATCGCCATGCCAGATCCCCTGCACGGAATCCCTCGCCCTGGTCTAGTCCCTCCGTCTCTTCACCTTCTCTCCTCCGCAGCATCCTACATGAAAATGGGCTTCTTACGCATAAGCGAATTCACTAACCCCCACGCCACCTTCAATGCAGCCCAAGACATTGCCTTCTCCGACCTGTCTTATTATCCCGTCTACTTGAACCTCCACCTCTAGCATTCCAAACGCAAAGGCGCTTGCAATATAGTCATAGCCCGGTCTGACACTTCTCCCTGTCCCTACAGATCCATGATGCATTACACTCGCCTCCGCTCTCGGAAAGGAGATCTCAACGGACCGTTATTTCTTACTCCCGATAACCTCCCAATGTCATCCAACTGGTTCAGAGCCCAACTCAAGTCCGTACTGCTGCTTTGTAACCTGTCTCCCCATCTCTACACAGCCCACTCCTTCCGGATAGGCGCCGCCACGCGCGCCGCGTCCCTGGGGCTCCCCCATTCCGCCCTCCAGCAGCTGGGCCGCTGGTCATCATCGGCCCTCTCCTCATACATCAGGCCTGACACTTCGACCATTCTGGCAGCCCAGCGGCTTTTGGCATCTCCATAAAACACTCGCTAAACTTCCTGGTGGCGGCAGCAGCTGAGTATCCGCAAGTAATGGTCACAGTAGATAGCGGTCACAGTATATAGAGATAGCGGTCACAGTATATAGCGCTAGCGGTCACAGTATATAGCAAAAAATGGTTAGCGCATAACGGTCGTCAGCATATAGCGATAGCGGTCACAGTATATAGCGATAGCGGTCACAGTATATAGCGATAGCGGTCACAGTATATAGCGATAGCGGTCACAGTATATAGCAATAGCGGTCACAGTATATAGCGATAGCGGTCACAGTATATAGCGATAGCGGTCACAGTATATAGCGATAGCGGTCACAGCATAGAGCAGTCTCGACGTTCTGTCCCCTCCAAACCAGGCTGCAAAACTCCATCAACTCACAGCCTTTTTGGGGATTGGCGCGCTCCATCGCAGGAGCCTCTCCGATCTGAAGGCCGCACCGGGGCCTAGGGCGCCAAACCTCCTCCCAATAAAATACTCAAAAGCTTCTTGTTTTCTCGTCTCTCCAAATTGAAATGCAGCCCGCGGAAATTCAATTTGGTAGACGTCAGCCAAAGTTACCCCCTCCAGGCCGGTTCGCATCCCCAGCCTATCGCACAGCAAACGCCCCCTTCCAATCACCCATACCGGCCAGGCAGCCGCTTAAAAGCGGAGAAACTCCCACTTCACGGCCTCCCGAAGCCTTGCAACCACCGCCTCCCCTCCTCCTCCTCTTCACCCTGCCTCCAATCTGCCTTCAATCTGCTTCCCGCTGCCAAATGCCGCCACCAGTGCCTAGGTCCTGGGGGATTGGCGCGCTCCATCGCAGGAGCCTCTCCGATCTGAAGGCCGCACCGGGGCCTAGGGCGCCAAACCTCCTCCCAATAAAATACTCAAAAGCTTCTTGTTTTCTCGTCTCTCCAAATTGAATAACAGTTCTTTCTGATCCATCATCCAGTATGGCATACGCTTGCATTGATCGATTACCATTGTGGACAAGGACACTCATTACTTTCAGTATTACGCGCTGTGATCGGTTGGGACGGTCAAAGTAGATCTGAGTGGAAGGAGTATTGACCATGAGGACAGCACCAGAAGTGGCTTTAACTGATTCATGGAGAATGGTGAGATGTGTTTCTTTACAGACTTTGCAGGGGCGCTTCAGAGTACAGGTGTCAGCAGCATGATTTCGACCGCATCTCCAACATCGTTTGCCATCTGTGATCCACTTTATGATCTCGTTTACACCAAGTTTCTTAAAGTCATTGCAGAAGTTCAGATAATGCTCTGTGTTATCACACCACGGACAATATGGCTTGGGCTTGGAGTTAAATTGGACTTTAGATGGAGTTGAAGCGGATACTTGTGGCTTACTATCAAGCGTTAGCAGAACTGGGGTAACCTTGTCCCTTTGCTGCGCACTCCTGTAAGTCTTCATCGGCTTGTGGATTTCAGCAGTGAACGGTGATGCTGCGCGACTTGAGATCTGTTTGGCTTGAGACTTAACCTGCAACCAAGCTGCTAGATCAGGAAGAGTGTATGTTCTGTTAGTACCTGTCTGAAGGATACCACGGGTCAGGCAGTATTCCACAAAGCTGTCACGGAGGTGTGGCGGCATCTTGCTCAGCAGGCGATCGACGTGAGAGCCACACATCAGCTCGTAACTGTTATGACCCTCAAGTGACCTTAGCATTCCAACCAATGACTGCACCGCCAGGGCGAAGGAGTCGAATGCAGCAAAGTCTCCTGGTTTGAAAGCTGGCATGCTCAATATTGTACCCAGTTCAGATTGAACGAGCTGCCGTGGTTGGCCGTACTTGTCTTGAAGAGCTTTCAAGGCCGTGGTGTAGGGCTGTGGGTGGTATTCGTACTCTGTGTGTGGATAGGAGGTACATACTGCGTTGGCTGCGTGGCTTGAAGAAGGCTCGGAGCGTTGTCTGGCACAGGTGTGGGTTGTCTTGGCACAGAAGGTGGCTGAGCTGCATGTGCAATGGAAATAGTATCCATAACAACTGATGGTCTTGTGCTACCATCAGTTGTGGATACTGGTAGCTGGAGGTAGCCTTCAGGAGTTAATGAGGGCTCTGGTGAAACAGCCTGCGCATCTGTGTTTAGGACTGAGGAGACCAGTTTAGCCATTCTCACCCTTCTCTGGGCTTCCTGCAGGCGACGATTCCTGTCCAGTTGTTTATGAAGAGTCTCCTTAGCAAGTATTGCTTCTTCCTGTGCGCGCTGCGCCTCCTTAGCCTGGAGCTGTAAGCGCTGATACTCCATATCTGCTTGAGTGTCCTCAGCTAGTTCCTGTCTAAGGTCATCAAGCTCGATTTGACTCAACCCTTCCTCCAGAAGAGCAGACTGCGTTGAGTTGAACTCTATGTTCGGGAAATGACCTCTACTTGATCTGCCTATGCTGCGCATAGGCAGCATAGGCTGCCTATAAACTATGAATTAGCAGGTCAATTAACATTATAACTCTACTTCACCAATGTACGTCAGATCACTCATGCTAAGTGAGACTGAAGAAAACACGTGTTAAGTCTAAACACGGACATATGGTTATAACAGGCACATTGGTCAACTAATCACACATTGCACTTACTTTTTGATCATTTACGCACACTGGCACACAGGGAACAACGTTAATGAGTCCTTAATGCACGAAAAAAGTCTCTGCAGCGCATCTAGCTGCCGTGGTTGCTCTATTAACCCTTCAAGATCTAGGGCTATTTTGGAGAACATTCCTCGCCTGGTTTTCTTTGTGTATTAATGCTCATAAAAGAGTCATCTTGTGATGCAGAGTCAAATATTATACATTCTTTTTTTCAGTACAACCTGGGGATTAATAATATTCATACTATACTAGTGTCATATGAATGTGATAAAAGTTATAGAATCATAAAGACATTAGAAAAAAAAAACGGAAAATAAATGTCTCAATCATTTATTGGAAAAACACCATGAACTTCAATGAACAACTTTTTACACTGTATAGATAGTTTCTTTGGGGTCTTGGGCATTATGTGTAAAAAAATGGAACCTGTAACTATATACATATTCACATAATGGCACAATTAGTGCAAAAAAAACCAGTCGTTTTATGCCTGATGCCACTCATGGAAACAGTTCCTGTCCATAACAAGGCAGAGAGACTCATCACAGGTTTCACACTTCCAAGGGGGTGCTTTGAATTTTCTGTTTAGTGGTTCTGCAGTGAACACAGCTTTTTCTCCCATATGAGGCCCGCCTGCTTGGGTCTTCCTGCTGGGATACTGGCACCGGTAAGTGTTCTGCTGGGGCTTTCACAGGAGGCACAGTGGCCGACACACCACACAGCTGGGCTGTCAGCTCCTCCAGAAAGCGTAAATGAGACAACGGGGTCTCTCCCTTTTCTGTACACAACTCCTTGTGTAAAATGTACGCATTTGTGGCCACTATGTCCATAAAATGAAAAAAAAGGGTCCTGTACCAGCGTTTGGTGGAGTGGCGAATAGTGTAGTACTGGATGAGTTGATCTGACAGATCAACTCCTCCCATGTGCTTGTTGTACTCCACAATAGGCTGAGGGCATGGAACGTCCCGGGTGACCCATTTGCCGTCATTACCTTTGAAGCGCCGTCTTGCTGTTGCACCTTCGTAAGCCGGATGGATGGTGGAGCAGATGGAAACTTCACGCGAATCCATCCACTTCACAAACACTAGTGGGCCCGCCCTGATCCACCGTATTGTGCCCCTTTCGTCTTTTTTTTTCATCGAGTTGTTTTCGATGTGGGGACATCCTCTCCTGTTATCCCTGTATGTGCCACAAGCACCGATGTTCATGCTAAACAAGTCCATGAACAGTTTTGGGCTGGTGTAGAAATTATCCACATACAACTCGTAACCACCGCCCAGGAATGAGGGATTTACAAGGGAAAGGACAGCATCGTATGCTAGTCCCACACCGGAGGAAAACTGGGACTTCCCTGTGTAAATAGCAAAGTCCACTGTATAGCCATTGCTGCTGTCTGCCAAGACAAAAAGTTTGAAGCCCCACTTTGTCGGCTTGGCCTTCATATACTGCGTCATTCCTGTGTGAGCCTTTGTTGCCACCATTCTTTCATCTATGGCAATGTGCTGTCTTGGGTGGAAGTGCGTTTTACATGCTATCAGGATGGTGTCCAGAAGTGGCTTCAGTCGGAACAGTTTATCATGCTGAGGGGTTCCTTTTGTTTGGTCATTCTTGGCATCCTGCTCCGGGTCACTTATATGAATGTTCCAGGAGATGGTCAGGTACCGATCTCGAGCCATCACTTTTGCGGGAAAACCTACACTGAAAATGGAGTGTTGTCTCCAATAGTCTGTGACCTTACAGAGCTTCAACAGTGCAAAATAAAACATGAGTCCAATAAATTTTTGCAGCTCAGTTTCTTCCAGTGGGGTCCATTTGTATTTTTTCCCATTTGCTATGTTCTTTGCTGCCTGTTTGTTTGTATTTGTGACGAGATTGGATATAGCACTTCTGTCCACAAACAACAAGAACAAATCCAATGGACTATAGGATGTGGATGTAACGAGCTGGTGTCCTGGTTTCCTTTTTGGCGTGAACTTTTTTGGCTGAAAATTGGTGTCTGGATCCTGTTCACTATTCCACCTGGCTTGATCCAGTGCAGGCCCGGGCCGTGGTGGAGATCTGCTGCGAGCTGTAGATCTTGTGCCCACTGTAGATCTCGTGCCCAATGCCGATCTTGTGCCCACTGTAGATCTGCTGCGGACTCTGGATGCACTTCTGCGTCTTGTTTTGCCCCTTGTTGAAGAGGAAGTGGGGGAGGGGAGCAGTGAAGGTGTTGGAGGTGTGAAGTGGGGGGCTGGAACAAAGGTGGAGGTGCTAGCCACACTGGTGGAAGGAGTTGGAAGCTCTTCACGACTGTAAAATAAGTAAAACAATAGAAACTAAGTAAAACAAATGAAATAAAAAAACATGTGGTATGTGCTATATAACATTTCACATGATCTATTATTGTCAGTGCAAATAATAAACACATCACGACTGTAAAATAAGTAAAACAATAGAAACTAAGTAAAACAAATGAAATAAAAAAACATGTGGTATGTGCAAAATAACATTTCACATTATCTATTATTGTCAGTGCAAATAATAAACACATCACGACTGTAAAATAAGTAAAACAATAGAAACTAAGTAAAACAAACAAAGCACTTACTCTTCAGCCGGGTCCTGGCGATCACAATAATCAAATTCCTCATCGGTATAAAAACTTTCTGGCTCAGACCCTGTATCATCATCACTCGCGCAGATTAGATCCAGAGCTTCTGCAGCTGTAAATAACTTCCTTGCCATTTTGAACAATTACTTTGCAAAAAGAATCGGAGGAGTTTTCGTGCGTCTGTCTCTAGTGCGCGTCTTCTGTAAATAGATGAGACGCGTCTTCTCACCTCTGTGTGACTGAGAGCATGTGTGACCAAGAGCATGAGTGACCATTTCCGGGTCTTTTTGTGAAAAAAATAAATAAACTACAACACGTAAGAGGGCTTACAGTGCTATGAAAAACAGTAGGGTTTACATTTTTCATAGTTACGATGAAACAAGTCTTTTTGCGCATCAGTAATAATAATCAGAGCCGTAGTTTCAACCACAGAGACCACTTTGTAAACGCAGAGAAGAAATTATCTCTCTTCCTGCTGATCTTTGGCACCGGCATGAGCGAAAACGGCTTTGCAATTGGATATTTCATGTCACATGTGGTAGCTCGAAAATCCGATTGGACACTGAAACTCCAATAGACATAGAATATCCCCTGTGCGTCACACGGACAATCCGGAACCAGATTCATGGAGCCTGAGGGGTTTTCTTCGCGGAGAAAAAAAAAGTAAGGCGCTAGCTTTTACCGTTCGTGATTAAACTGATGACTTGTAAAACATGTGCACCGTTGTCGGCGACGACAACATCGTTGATTAAGGGTTAACACATTTCCCTTTTTATTGCTTTTATGTTTACACCATGGTTTCACTTACGGATCCTTCACTTATGGCCAATACACTTATGGATCCTCACTTATCTGAACACAATTTAGAGAGAGTTCGACAGACCTCAAAAACAGACCAAAATTTAGCTAGTATCCAATTATGCAGACTTTACATATAAAAAGGTGTCTGCTTACCTTATTCTTGTCAAACAGGTGCATGCACGGACTGTCCGAGAGGTCTGCCAACCTCTTTTCCGCGTCGGAATACTCAATCCAAAAAACAAAAGTGACAGAAGCATCCAGGAACAGCTCTTCCAGCCTGCCGGAATCTCCGCTCCCAGACACAGCATGCCGGTCTCTCACGCCGAGGAAAAGAAACAAAGCAAACTCCCTCAAAACAATCCAGAGAATGGCGCACACTGAGCCGCGCATTCTCCACCAAATCTGTCAGGGATGAAGCAGACAGAGACAGATCATGGTGCGCCAAACTCTGGAAGTTTATTTAAGTTTCTCTCAAGTTCCAGTGGTTTCCTTTGTTTCTTTCTCTCAGACAGAATGGAGTCAGTACAGTTTATATAGTCATTGTCACTATACGGGTCTGCACTGGTCTCTCCCATGGATCTATACGGGTCTGCACTGGTCTCTCCCATGGATCTATACGGGTCTGCACTGGTCTCTCTCATGCATCTATACGGGTCTGCACTGGTCTCTCCCATGGATCTAGACGGGTCTGCACCGGTCTCTCCATACGGGTCCGTGCTGCACGCTCCTGGATCCATACGGGTCCGCGCTGGTCTCTCCAGTCTGGTCCATGCGGTCTCTCTTCGGTCTGCGCTGGTCTCTGCACACGTGTCTTTCCAGTCAGGTCTCTTCAGTCTACGGCAGACCTGGGCGAAATAAGGCCCGGGGGCCGGGTCCGGCCCGCCAATCTATTTAATATGGCCCGCGACTCATTTTCAATATAAGTATGATTTTTTGGCATCTTCTGCGCCGCTTTAATTACGCTTTCGCAAAGCTTCCGCGACGCAACGCATCCGCACCGCGAAAGCGGCGCGAAGGCTCCGTCGTGTCCAGCACCTCTTCCTGCGCGTGATATGAGCCTTCATTTTTCACGAGCAGCCCTCGACAATGTCCGCCCATGCTAAAAAAAGAAAGGTAGATACCGAATGCAGGATTTTCAACAAACATTGGACTGCTAAGTATTTATTTGCTGAAGTTGGAGCTAACGCTGTTTGTTTAGTTTGCGGGGAGCAAGTTGCCGTGTTTAAGGAGTACAATGTGAGTTGGCATTACCAGACGAAGCACGCAGAGAAATACAAAAACTTAAACGATGCTGAAATGGCGCGGACATCAAAAACTTTGCTAGCTGCACTGCAAAAGCAACAAGACGTTTTCACCAAGCGCTATGCAACCAGGGATGCAGCAACGAGGACCAGCTTTGTGATTTCCCACAAGATTGCTAAAAACAGTAAACCATTCGCAGAGGGAGAATTTGTTAAAGAGTGGACTCTGCTGCGCTAATATGCCCGGAGAAAAAAGGAGCATTTGAACAAGTACCGCTGTCCAGGCGAACGGTGACAAGGAGGGTCGAGGACATCTCGGGTAATCTGGAGCTTCAATTGCAACATGAAGTGGCACGTTTTGACCTCTTCTCTTTGGCTTTGGACGAGAGCTGTGATGTCCGAGACACGGCCCAGCTACTCGTATTTGTTCGTGGGATAACCGGCTTCAAGATCACGGAGGAGCTGCAGCAGTGCGGCCGATGAAAGGGACCACAACAGGGGCTGATCTGTTCAGGGAGGTAAATTTGTGCATGGACAGACTGGGATTGAAATGGGAGAGACTGGGAGGTGTCACAACAGATGGTTGTCCAAATCTTACAGGGAAAAATGTTGGACTTTTGAAACGTATTCAAGATAAAGTGACTGAAACGAATGCAGATCAGAAAGTTGTATTTTTGCATTGCATTATACACCAACATGTTTTGTGCAAGTCAGTGTTAAAAATTAACCATGTTATTGATGTTGTTACTAAAATAGTAAACTTCATCAGGGCACGGGCATTGAATCACAGACAGTTTGTTGCACTTTTGGAGGAGCGAGACACTGAGCATCATGACATTGTCTACCACACAGCTGTCAGGTGGCTCAGCCTGGGTCAAGTGTTAAAAAGAGTTTGGGACCTGAAAGCAGAGCTTTTAGAGTTTTGTGAAAGTAAAGGCAAAGATTTCCCAGAGCTCTCAGATGAGGATCACAGATTTGGCATCTTCTGTTGATGTGACAGCACTGATTAATGATCTGAACACAAAACTGCAAGGAAAGGACCTTTTTGTTCATGAAATGTACAGCCTGGTGAAAGCTTTCATGAGTAAGATGACACTTCTCTCAAGTCAACTGGAGAACAACTCCCTCACTCATATGCAAACACTGAAAGGAGTCACACCATCAGCTGATCATCTCCGCAGGTACTCATCCATGTTAATAGCATTGCATGGTGAGTTTTCAAGACGTTTTGAAGATCTCAGAACTATTGAGGATGAGATGAAGAGGATTTCCTCCCCCTTTACCTGCAGTGTAGATAATGCACCCAGTGATGTTCAGATGGAACTGATTGACCTGCAGTCTGATGCAGTGTTGGCAGAGCACTTTCACTCAAAACCTCTTCTAGATTTCTACTCCTCTCTTGTGGAGGAGAACTTTCCAAACATGAGGAGATATGCCCAGAAGATGTTGGTTCTGTTTGGTTCTACGTACATATGCGAACAGACATTTTCAACTATGAAGTTCACAAAATCCAGGTATAGATCGTCTCTCACTGATGAGCATTTGTCAGCCTTGCTTCGCATCTCCACCTCAGACATTCAGCCTGACTGTGATGCACTTGTTAAAGCCCAGCAGAGACAAGATTTCTCTCACTGAGAATAAATCACTTAAACACCACATCCACCTTTTGTGACAGATTACAAAAGGAGGCATGTAAAGGAAGTGGCAGTGACCCGGGACACTTGGAAGCCTTTTTTTTTTTTCAAAATCACAGTTTTGTGATGTTTAATAACAATTCAATATGTTTCTTGCTTAGTTTGGTTGGTTTGGATGGTTTGGAGCACAAAAAACAATATTGTGGTTTCTTTATGGCACATTCACTGAAAATGTAGACTAAAAAAAGTCTATTTGTCACAAATGTGAAAAACTATTTTTGTTTAGTATTACTTTCAAACATTTATTGAATAAACTACATTTTTTATAAGGCAACCTCAATCGTATGTCACTTGTGTAACTAAGTATAAATATATATAAGTAACAATTTCAAATAATATTATGTATATTTGAGTTCAAATTTTTCATCCGGCCCTTCACAACATTTTCTGTTTCTCATGCGGCCCCCTGTAAAAAATAATTGCCCACCCCTGGTCTACGGTCTCTCCTCGGTCCGCGCTGGCTCCAGTCAGGTCTATGCGGTCTCTCCTGAGTGGATAGCACTCTCACTTCTTGACACGAAGGTCCTGGGTTTGAATCCTGGTCGGAACAGGGCCTTTCTGAGTGGAATTTGCATGTTCTCTGTGTCTGCATAGGTTTCCTCCGGGTACTCCGGTTTCCCCTGCCCAAGTGAAATTGGTCTGTAAAATGTGCTATATAAATAAACATCATGATGGTTTAATGTGGGGGCTAAATTAAACTCAAAATAGTAAGTTATTGTAGGGGACAGTAATCTGAACTTAAAAAAGTAAGTTTTTACAGACTTGAAATCTAGTAACTTGAATTTAAAAACTTAGTCGGAAACTTGGAAACTTAGCTGACACAACTTAATAATTGTAGTTCTTCAAAACGTGAAGAATTAAGTGAATGCCTTCAACTCAAAAATCCTTCGCAGCTGGTTGCTTTGAAATTTTGAGTTGAACTAACTTTTTCTTTTTTACAGTGTAAGTGGTTAAACAAATGTCCATTCAAAGATGTAAAGTTCAAAAATTGTTAATTTAACAAGTTGCAGGCAAACACAAAAATGCTGCATCTCCAATTGCTTGCTTGCAGTCATGTGACGCGTAAACTTCCGGTTGACGAAGTGGTGTCAGGCCAGCAGGAGCTGCTGCTGATATATGAAGAAAATGCGACTCTTCCGAGTATTTTTTGCTTTTTTGGATATTTCATGACACTTTGAAGCTACTGTGGTGAACGTTCTAACTCATCATTCTAACAATATGCACAAGGCAGAATTTTTCCACTACATGTTTTGGTTATATCAAGCTTGAAGCTACTGGAACCGCAGCAAATGCTAATATGCTAATATGCTAATAAGTCTCCATTCCTCCGCTGTATGTCACTTACATTCTGTAACGTCTGTGTTTATGCCTCTACCATCGACAATAAAACATTCTGTCTGAATTAAAGACACAATCCTAGACTGTCTTTTTATTCACTTTAGATTCTAACCCACAGCTAGTGTTACAGTCAAGCTTCTGCACTTTAAACAAACCCCAGTTACTTAATGTAACT